CGCGTTCGCCGATGATTCCCGACTGTTCGCCGGCATCTGAAAACCGAAGCAAAATGCCGTAGTTTCGAGATGTCGTTCCGGAAATTTTCGCTTTTGAATTTCGTCCCGTTTTTCGGGGGTCCAATTTCCGGACATAGCCGTTTTCGGGTAGTTCCACTTGCCCGACACGGGCGTAATCCGGCTTCCCTGTCGGCCGACTTAGCCATTCCGGCCGTGGCCACCGGACTCGGCTCGCGTTGCCGCCGACGAGCTGGCGTATTAATCGTATTATTATTATTATTAATAATAATAATAAAAATACACGTTAGAACAAACGTGTTTAAAGAATTCGTTACGAACGCGCGTCCCTAATGCACGCAGGAAGTATCAACAGTAGTAAAAGGAATAACAGTGAAACCAATGTCGTTCATATTACAAACACGGATATTAATAAATGTGGTTATTGCATGCGTGCCGCTATCTGTCGGCGACTCTACGAGTCGTTTCGAAGCTGCACGTTACTGTCACTTCATCTTATAACCAGCTCGGAAATGACAAAACAAAAGCTTTATATAAAAAAACAAGTTTTTTTGGAGCGGCTTTAAACTGATGCAAGTGAGCAACAATAAATCTTGTATAAGCGAAGATTTAAGTAAATAATTCGGGCCTTCTAATTACAACAACCGATGGAGAAACAACTTGCTTTTACCAAAGGACGGGCATAGGTTTGGAAGATATTTATCGATCTGTTAACTTACATATAGTTGGAACGCCTTAAAAGAAGAATGTAAAGATATTAGTTGAGTGCATTTTTAATTTTTTTTTTTGTTCTGTTGTTATTGTAGTAGTCTTCTCAGTTCGTTGTTTTGTTGTTTTGTTGCCTGTATACTTGGTAGCAGTCTGTATCGTTAGTTTTTCTTTCGACCCTTGAAACGGGCCAACGGCCATACGGTCGTATAGGTAAAAAAACTAACCTAAATACATAAGTAAACATTATGCAACTAGGAATTATCGATAAAAATAAAAAAATAAGAGTGAAATCAATGCCGGAAAACATACATACACAGAATAGACGGTTTGAGTGCCTTCGGGACGAACGCACTCGTGTGTATCGTCGGAATTACGAGCCGAGCAATTGTCGGCCATTCTGAAAAAAAAAAAAAAAATTAAATGTACTGTCTACGTTCGTATTTAGGATTCGGTATAGGCCTACGAACGAAATTAACAACATCTAGTACGATCCGCTGGGCGCATCGCGTCCGATGAACGCTTCGGCGATGTTAATCGTACCATTTCATTGCAATCGACGGAAGGTGGCAAACTTTATCGAACTAGACCGATCGAATGTTACGAATGACTGCATTTCTGTAGACCACGTACGGACGAGGATTCGGTACTAACACTTTGCCTCGACTGTCCAAAGACATTTTGTAAGTAGTATGTTTTTTTGACGCGAATCTCCAAACTACAACTTATATCGTGATAGTACCAATTGATTTATAACAAGTACAGAGAAATAAGTGAGGCACTGAATGTTGAATGTTTACATTGTGTGATGAAATTATTGTTCGGTCCGTTTGTTACGTTACAGAAACCCGGATCGTATGAATCCTTTTCGAACGCACTCTCTGTAAAACGAGTACAGTTCGTTATTGACATCAAAGTGTGTCCTAACGCTGAGCATGTGCACTTGGATTGAAGGTCGACGGTGTATAAACCTGTTTAATTCGATACCCGAGAATATAACATTTAGTTTCGAGACGTCGACCTGGCGACGGGAATTCGAGCTGTGCCGACGGGTGCGGCTAGTAGCCGCACCCNATTCAGCACGGTTTGGAATGTGCCGCCGAACGCGTATGCAACCTTTTGCATCGTGTCGGCCCACCCGTATTCGTACTTACTCCGGCCTGGACGCCCCTATTTCTTTCTCTTTCCAGTTTAAGTTCAGCCCGCAGGACTTCCACATATTCAGGCTCGTACCCGCCTAAAAGATAATAAACACATATTTTCCGGTTCTCCCGTTAGGGGGCGTCCGCATTTGTACTTACATATCGGCGGTTACAGTATTTATATCGCGTTTAAATTTGCATTTATAACATTTCGGGCTACCGAACATACACGATTTTGTTATATTTGCATATTTACGCTATAAAAGGTTTTTTGTTTTTACGCCGTTCACGATGAACGGATACTTCTACAGTACTTTCACGATGTTAAAATAATAACAACGGTTTAAAACGAACGATTATTTGTTTTTAAAAATGCATTTCGAAAATTCCATTTAATCCAAGTTATAAATTAAAAGACGTAAGTGAACGTTTTCGGAGAGTTCGATATCAAACTTTTTTACATTTCGTCGTTTTCGGACTGTCGCGAAAGTGGATAAAGCTGTACCGCAGGAACAGTTGTTTTGATTTCGCAACAAACAACTGGCCTTCTAGTATTAATCGAATTAATCGACAAAGTACTAAAAATATTCGGAACAGTTTTAAGAAGCAGCAACAACAAATGAACTTTTCGCTATCGAAAATCTTTTTCGAAAAGTAACCGTTTTTTATATATTTATTTATAATGAACTGCAGTTACAATATAAAAAAATTTTTTCCGCGGGATACATCTGTAAATTAGAAAGTCACTAGAATGCCTTGTCACGATCCAAATACGACTTATTGTAAAGCACAAATGTCAATCTATTCAACATAATTCGTTGCAAAATCTTTCCCACTCGCCAATAAAGAAACGACGTCGAATAGATTATTAGAATAGGGGTCGTCGATTTGTTTTAAAACAACTGTATTCAATCCGTTATTTAATTAAACGGCGAACGAAATATCGAATCTTCCGGCTTGAGGTCCGAAAGCAGCGGTCACCTCTCCGACGTCATTCCGATAAGTTCGTTCGTTGCATTTCGACCGAAACACTTATTTAATCGTTACTTACGTTGGCGCGAGTAACTATTCTTACGCCGAAAGAAAATAACGTTATCGCTGGAATAACAAGAATTATTTGTTCCAAGCAATAAGCGGAAAATTCCGCTACTTTCAATTAACACTGTCGGTTTTTCTATATGTATTTAAGCTACTAAATAATGCAAAACAGAAAAAGAAATGACGCATTTTTAAACAATTGTAACGTTTAACTCGAAAATATCGACGACGAACTAACATCGATATGGTATTATAAAAGTCATTCGATGTCGCGAGTTTAACGCGGCGATCGCAACTTTCGAAGACACGATACAAATAATTACTAATGTTTTTAAATCTCGTTTAAAACAGTTAACGGCGGTAAAGCAATTCCGAATTAAATACACAATTACGCTATTCGACCGTAGAAGACGTTCTACTCTGTTCACTCCTCGGCAGTAAAACCGTTCTTATCGGTCGCTCCTACTCGAATTGGACACGACGGTCGAGAACCGACCGACTTGTCGAATTCCGATGCCACGGAAGATAAAAGAACGAACGTAAAGAAGTCGCCGAGGCGAGGGATTTCGTTTCGGTCGCGAAACTCGCGGATCCAATTTGTCCCGACCGAGCGGCCACATCTCGCGCGAACGTTTCGATAACTCGTCACTCGACACCGATAACGTCCGAAGTTCGGTCGTTTCCGAAAACGCGCAATTTGCTAGACTCGTTTTCGACTGTAAATGCGTTTTTCCCCCCGTATATTTCTAACAACCGAATGTCGTTACGTTAACTTTTATGTCCGGTTAATCATTCGGTCGGGAGAACGAACAGTCATAGTCGCGACGCCGATCGTTTTTCGCGCGAACTACTACTGCGCACTGCGGAAAACAGATCCGTTCGAATTACTGCGAATTCGCCGAACCCCCGTAATCGGACGCGCACCGGTTCGGATTAAATACGCTTATTAAATTACAATTCGTTACCGCATTCACCGATTATCCGTATTTCGATAAAAGTATGTACTAAATAACTGCATTCGGACACATGAGCTTCATTCGTTCGTTTTATTTTTATTTCATTTACGGGTAAGTTCTGGTTCGTTTTCTTCTTTCCTTGCCTTGTATTCTATTCTTTCTTTTGTTACTGAAAAGAACGAAACGACTCGTGAATGTTATGTTTCGGCTCGAAACGAAAATCGTGCGCTGCAACCGGTTCGAATCGTTCTTACTTGTGCCGTTCGTCGCTCGTTCGTTCGTCGCTCTCCGAGTCTTCGGACGACGAAATCGATATGACGACTCCTTGCGATGTCGACGGCATGTCTTCTGACTGTTCCGCCTGTCGGAAAAATAAACGAATTCAGCACGGTTTGGAATGTGCCGCCGAACGCGTATGCAACCTTTTGCATCGTGTCGGCCCACCCGTATTCGTACTTACTCCGGCCTGGACGCCCCTATTTCTTTCTCTTTCCAGTTTAAGTTCAGCCCGCAGGACTTCCACATATTCAGGCTCGTACCCGCCTAACGAACGTATCATGGCTCTGCAGAGAAACGAAATTGTACATTGTTAGCGAACCGTTCGTCTAACGACGAAACAAATTCGACGACAACTTACGTGATCGGGTCGGCGGCCTCTTCTCCACCCGCCAAAAGTTCTTGTATAGCTGAAAACCAGAAGGTTAGGGTTACTGTGCGTCGGCACGACGTCTGACGAATGGCTTGCGCCGAATTTACACTTACCGGCCTCAAAGGCGTCCATCACACCTGCTCTGTGCAGTATCTCGAAGACCTTTTCGACCGCTTCCGGTCGGGATAAGGTTTTCTGTAATAGAACGAAAACAGTTTTTCAAAGTGTTACGAGTCTTACTCTGATACGTCCGAAAACGTTTGCAAATTAAAGCGATCGGCTTCGCGAGCGAAACGCCCACTCACGTCGGCGCCCTCGTCGGAACTGCTAACGTCGACTAATCGGTCACTCATGTTTTATAGACCAGACTATTTCAGGTCTGGTCCTATATTTGGCGTGGGTTTATACAGAGAAATTTATTCTGTAATAGAATAATTTATCAATTGACTAGCTTTCAAAATAGTTAAAATACCAAACGATGCATTACATAAGAAATAATACTTGCTTTATGAACTTAGGTTAAGGTTGACTATTGACGTCAATAATAGTTCAAGCAGTAACATTTTAAGCACCTGTTTCGCCCAGGTGTTTTTCTGCTATAATAGCTCTGATTTTAGAGTACCTCAGTATCTAGAAAGCAACAGTTCGGACCGTCGTCTAAGCAATTCTCCATTTCATAAAAAAGTTACCAAAGATATTGTTCGACACTCAATGACAAGCTTCATTTCTTTTTGGAAAAGTAGGTTTCTCTACAGGAAAACCACCGCAATGGAAGAAGTATCTCCCATAAATTTAGAAATCCTTACTGAAGACGAATTGATCAGGCGATTAATTTTAAAAGATTATATTTAGCTTATCAATTGGCCAGATACAAAAAGACAGGTATGTGAAGTGGCGGAGAACACTCGAAACGCCGTTAAAATGGGATGAAAATTGTAAAGTTAAAAAAAAGTCGTTTTTAAACAAACCTTTAAGATGAACACTTCTGAATTAAAAGAAGAAACTTTTATTGTTTAAAAAGGAAATAAGCACAGCAGTTGAAAGACTACGTTCGAGGAAGGCATTGTTACCAAAAGCTAACCAGAGGGAGACAGTTTATCATCAGACTATTCGAGGTGAAAACCTGCAGTAATTAGGGGATAGACCATAGAGGAACAACTCATTATTTACTGTTACCATGAAATTAAATTCAATTGTCGAGGGGAGCGACAGTATATAAACTTTGCTGAAGAGCTGGATTAAATTGCAACGACATGCCAAAATCAATATCGAAAGATACATCAGCTTATCTCTCATCGAGAGGAGGGTAAAACTATGCAGAAGATTGTTCTTTTTAGCTATAAGGAGGCCATCCGCAGTTTCCAGAATATTAAACTTCACTGGAACAATGTTTGTCCCCAGGAAGATCGTCCGGCCGACCGCGTCTGACGACTCATGATCAGGATGAGCAACTAAGATCAGAGCCAGGGGAGCCCTTTTACTATGGCCTCATCGAATTCTAAATTTTTCTAGGAATGAAAATGGTCGCTTTTTTTGTATCGAGTCCAGAAGGTAATGTCTTGTTTTTATTTTAATATGCTTTACGTTAACAGTAAATGTTTTTTTTTTTTAAATTCGGTCAATTTATATTTGTAGGCGTTCATTAAACGATACTACGGAAGACCGATCAAGCTCTTCAGGCATGGAAGAGATTAAGAGACATTATTCAAAATAATGCGCAAAGGTATGTTTGTATCGCTTATCTTATTTACATAATTACTTGTTTTTAAGATAAAATTTGTTTTGTGCACGTATATCAATTATACTGCTTGCGCCATATACTTCGACGAACGAGTCGGATGAAGAATTGACACCCTACGAGGGAGAAACGAAACAGTGTCTGGAGAAAATGCAAGAGAAATGTTCCAGAGGTCGTGTTTTTTGGAGTATAGGTCAACATTCCATATACTACCCTAGACCACACGTGGAAACAAATGGTCAACTTAAATCACGTGACTAAAGACACGCTGCACACCGTCCGATGAAGAGTACTACGATGACCGCGTGATTTGTATATCGTTTAAAGCGAGTGACATTCATTAATTCGACTTGCCTTTGTGTTCAGAGATGTTTTGTTTCTACTCCAAAAGTGAAATAGTTCATTACTTCTACACATTGTGCGCATTTAATTGCCGTTGTTCACTTTCCTGAAAATTTTTAGCTTTAAATATTTTTTGGCTTCCAAATGCCAAAATTTTTTAATGTTTGTTTTGTTAAAGATAAATAGATTTTAAATAGGAAATCATATTTTTGTTTTATCCGAACATGTTTGTCTCAAGAGACTTTTATCTGAGAAATTATTAAAGCTATTTCTCACATTAAAATTTAAAAATTAAGTTATTATGTGAGAAATAGCTTTAATAATTTAGATATACTGAGTATATATAAATTTTAGTTTATGGATAAACAATGCCCATCCCTTAGCAATTCATCTAAAATTTTTGTTACTTTTAATATATTAATTCATTTGAAAGAACTTTTTGAATGCCCCTCGAATTTACATGTAATAGGTTCCCGGACTTATGATCCTACCCTGTAGTGGTACGAGATATGGAATGGAGACCTAATCACCTTTTTTTTAAGTAGGCTCCTCCCGCGCAGACACATTTGTTCTGTCGATTTTGGCATTGTTGAATGGAGGCGTGCAAGTCACTGGTAGCAAGATCTGGAGAGTAAGGTGATTGGGTGATGACAGGAATGCTTTTGTCGGCGAGGAATTTCTGCACAGTGTCTCGTGGATAAACCTGGGGCCATGCCACTTGTAAACTGTGGATTTCTTTTGTGCCTTATCACCGTAAACTTGCTGCAGGGTAGCTGTCGACCCTGCAGTAGTTTTCCCAATTTGCAATGAACTTGATGTTTGCAAACTTCCCAATGCTGCTCGAACTGGGACATTGCATCGAATGATAAGTCCTCGTGCCCAATAGACTCTCTATAGTAACGACTGCAAGTCTAAACTTACACGAGCATTATCAGTGCGAATAGACAAGCTGAGCTTCCTGCCACAGCAATGCATAACCTTATCTTATATTGCATTTTATAAGTGTGTAAAAAAAATTCCGGGAACATTTTCACTGCCCCTTGTATTATCTGTTTTTATCTTAAACCTCAACAGTGTCATATCAAATTTTAAAATATTTTAATTTTCTGTAGCCATTTCTTATTTCAGTTCGTAAATAAAAGACAAAGTGAGGAGTTAATAATAACCAATACTAAAAGACAACAATCCCCATGTTCCATCTTTTTAACTCCAAAATAATTACTAAAATATTTATCGTTTAATGAGAACCTAACGATATTGTAGATATGTAAGCGTGATTTTTGTATACGTTACATTAAAATTGACCATTCTCTGTATGTAATTTACCGTCGTAAAATTGTATTTGTTAAATATAATGCTGAACATAAATGAGAAATAAAATTATTTTAATTTTTTTTTTGTTTTTAATTTGACTTAATCATCTTAGAACCCAAGAAAACGCTGTTTTTTAATTAAAAACAGACATTTTACGTAATAGAAATTCTTAAAATTCAACTGCGACCGTACCTAAAAAACGGAAGTACTGTACATATGATCATTTGAAGTTTTTAAGTTGACGTCATTGCTAATTCGTGTTGTGACGTCTAATGACGCCAGGATATTTCCGAGTCACTAACTTTTGAATCGGTAGTCCCTAAATTTTCTCCCGACCAGGGGAACAATTCCAGCTCACATTTACACACACAAAAAAAATATAAACCTAAAAACTAGCATATTCAGCTATAAAACTATCTATCTAGCGAATTAATACATTTGTAAACAGTGTACAGATATTTATTGATGGCAAGAATCCCCTCCAAATCATTTAAAGTTTATCCTATAAACTAATACATTATACCTTCCAAACAGTTAATTTTTTTTTTGAAATATTTAACTCAACTAACTCAAACTTTGTATTCTTTTCTTTCGAATTTAAGTCTAATACGTTCTTAACTTCAACAATACTTCATAAAATTCAATAAACTTCGTTTTACTTACGAACCTGTAATTAAAAAACAGAATCTACTTTTAATCTTTGATATTTAATTAATTAATTTCTACTGTATTTAATTAATTAATTTTCTACTGTATAATTATACTTCTTCTTGTTACTGTTACATAAGGGAAAGTATGGTAATAGTGTCAAATTTGACACGAATGTTTTTACAAATCTTTATTATTTTGTGTTTTTACTGAGTTAATAATGAAAAACAAATGGTCGTTGTTAAATCTTAATTCGGTGGGTTTTGTTGTAGAATGTTACGGTATTTCCGGAAACGTAACTAATGAGAGTGATTTATCAATCTGTGGTCCGAGGACTCTTCTCAGTCCAAAAACATGTGAATGACGATTAGGGAAATATGATTTCGCTACTCTATCACGTGATGCCCGCGAGTATAGCGAAAATACTTACACGAGAAAAATTTGTCCGGAAACAGAAGGTGGGTTGAAGCGAGTAAGTAATCACGTGACCGAGTGACTGCTTCAATACACTGTCAAACGTTTTATACACCTCCACCGACCAATATGCTGCTCCATGACAAGCTTAAGAAATGTATAAAGCTACGTATTAATTTGTATTATACAAAATAAACTTTAATAACGAATTCTCAAATTACAATTAATGCAAATCTACTATGGTATTAGGCAACGACATTGTTTTGGAGAATTTATTTTATGTATTTGTTTTTTTTTTTTTTCGTATATTATTTCTTCAAAGAATCAACAATACAAATTTAATAGTTAAATTTTATCCTTCCCTCTTTTCCAGCGCAATCACACCGCAAAGATTCGGAACATTTTCTTGGCATCGTTTATGGACGTTCATATTACATGCTGCAAAAAAAATTAATAGAAAATATAATATAAACCTTGTAAAAATATTAAATTAATTGATTATATTTACAGGAAGAACATAAATTACAGCGAGGGAAAGAACTAATTAAATAAATGAAGAAAGAATTTTCAATGTAACGTTTTTCACTAACGTTTAAAAATACTATTCTAGAAACATTTAATTGTAGAGATTTGTAAATAAATGCTTACCTTTGCATTTGAGTCCTTGATGGATGATGCCATAAAGTAGAGAACCACAATGTTTGCAGTAAGTGGGACTCAAGAAAGTATGGGCATGAAAATTGTGTTTCGTCCTAACATCCTGTAATTAAAAAACAAACAAATAACAATTTAAGAAATATTTTAAATTAAACTGTAAAATGTTGAGTGTTCTGTATTGTATACATGTTAAAATGAGCCGTAATTTATTATAAAGTTTTATTAATAAGGTGTTAAATAATCATTAAAGATTTTGTAAATTAATCTCGTTCACTGGTGTGATAAACCCGCATGTATATGTGTCTATTTGATGTAGACTAAGTGTTAAACAATATAAAGGGATAAAAACAATAGATTATTCCATCGTACTATAAATATTTACAATAGATTATGGTGACGTGAATAGGTTTAGGCCTGAATTCCTTAAGGATATGTTCATACTTTAAATCGCTGTCATCTGTCTAATCCAGTGTTTTCCTTTCCAGACTACTACCTCCTTTTTAGTGTAATATATTTCTATATTTCTTAAAAATAAATTGGAAAAAAAAAATGTGTGTCTCCCCTGTCTTCCAATACTCTATTACCTATTGCTCCAGTCTTCTGGGAATCACTGGTGTAATCAAAAACTTTAAAATAATTATAATGAAAAATAATAGTACTACTTATATCAGAATTTACCCCTTTGTCGACTCCAGAACAAGTAAACTTGACCAATTCGTGACACCTTTTATGAACCACAAAGTTGCAAACTATAAATAATAACAATAAATGGCATTAAAGCCTAAGTTATATTATTATATATGTAATTTCAGATTTAATTTACTGTAAAACATTATGTAAATAATGAAATAATAGTTAAAAATAAAAAAGTTAAAGGCAAACTAAAGTGCAGAAAAAACATTTATTACGTCATAAAATAAAACACACGAACAGAGAGATAGACACATTCAACTGTTTATGTAATCACATGCTTTTTTCACGTTTACAGAATCACGTTTACACTTTTTCAAGCTTACAGAGGGAAGAAACCCTTCTGTAAGCCTGTGAAATTTGGCCAAGCNAACATTATGTAAATAATGAAATAATAATTAAAAATAGAAATGTTAAAGGCAAACTCAAGTGCAGAAAATCACTTTATTACGTCATAAAATAAAACACACGAACAGAGAGATAGACACATTCAACTGTTTATGTAATCACATGCTTTTTTCACGTTTACAGAATCACGTTTACACTTTTTCAAGCTTACAGAGGGAAGAAACCCTTCTGTAAGCCTGTGAAATTTGGCCAAGCATTAAATAGATATAGTTAAGAAGCTGAAATATCCTATATAACTTCTTCCTTCTTTAAATACATTATGTAACGGCTCATAGACACAATTCAAATCATATTTTTATGTATAATAGCTTGATTGATAAGTGATAACAAAAATCAGTTACATTGAACAGAGAAGTAAGTGAATTACTGTACTTAATAAATCTTTGAGTCGAGTGTTGAACATAATTAAAATCTGTTGTAAAATGAATGCACGTACCTTGACACTTACATCCCTGCTTGCCGAAACCCCTGAAATGAATTAAATTATTTAATAATTAATACGTAATCGTTAAACGTATTTATTATAAAGATATTAAATACAGTACAAACTCTAATCCGTTCCTTAATAATCCGGCATATTTTCCAGTTTGATCTGTATCCATGTAAATGTTAGTCATTTGACATATCCTGTTCACTCGTGTTTCATTTCTACGTACAGTATTCTTCCCCATATGCCTTTACTCTCTTTAATCTAGCACACCTCTGTGCAAAGACAGGCCGGATTAACGAATGTCTACTGTATTTATGAAAAATGTAGACATAGAAATTATTCTATACTTTTCATCGTTTCTATCAAAGAAAGAACATCCTTATAAAGGTAATTTCTGTTCTACATGCTAAACTCTATCACAACCTACTGAAAGACTACAATAGTTCTTTTTTGTAATTCGTTGCATATAAACACACATTTTAAGCATGCAGATATGCATATAAAATTAAGCAAATAACCGTATTTATTAACAGACAGCGAAGTTCAATATGGGGAGAATCATCGAAGATCAGTGGATCTTTGGGGTATCGAGAGGGAGTATCGGGAAGCACATTTCTGGTACCGATGTAGCCACACACTACTTGCTGTCCGGAAGGAGTGGGTGCTTTCTGAGACGACAGTTATAAGTAATTGCCGGAAGGCGCATTGTGTTTAAACTGAAAGCTTTCATCATTCGACAGTTAAGGTATAACTTTGTTGATCCCAGACAGGCTCCCACACACCAACACATGGATGGGAGGTGAGCGTAAATGTTCCCTGCCGTAAATATGTTTTTAAAGCCAAATATCCGGACATGGAGGGTTCGATTGCACCCTTTCTCGCTTTTAATAATACAATCTTAAATTTGGAGTTATTATAATTATGTTTTCAAAGAGAAGAATCAAATGATACGAAACTTGACGTCATTTCCGATCACGTGACACCTTCAAAGTCTATGAGAAACAACGAATCCTTCCGCCAGAAAAATAAATAGACGGGAACACGTCAGTCTTGTCACGTGATCTAGTGACGTAAAAGCGAGAACACGTGGCACGATTTGTAAGCGCCCGCTTCTAATGTGCCACTCCGCAATGTAAACAAGATAAGCAATCCGATGCATTTTCGTTTATAGCTCTTATTTTTGGGGGCGACGCGTATAATTTCTATCTGTTTAGGACACGTCTACTAGTAAGGTCTCTTAAGAAATCAAAATTAAAGGAAAAAACGTGCTACGTATTAAAAGTTACCGTTGGCAGCCACACAACACAAGGTCTATATAGACCTTGACACCACACTGTTGACGGGCGTGTCACCTTTTATCTGTTTATCAGTGAAACTCCGCATTACCCTATTTACGTGTCCGCTAGTCACGGGATCAGTCACTGATAAAAATCTAAATATACTAATTTACATTGTTGAATTTAACACATTTTGGGATTTTTTTTTCTTAGAAGTTTCCGTCCGAAAAGAATATAATTATAATTAAAAATAACCATCGGATTTTAACATAAGAACTCACCAAATAAAATCTTTACAATGGCAGCAAAAAGTCGGTTGTTTTAAAAGAGTTGCAATAAACTTATGATCTTTAATCAGCGATACATTTTCTCTGTTTAAAGCGCCTTTCCTCGCTCTGATATTTGTCGAAGGAGTATAGTCGGCCATCTTCCTTTTAATCGTTTGACGGCAACTAATCTCTATACCAGTGCTTTTCGACCGGTTATTTTTTTTTATTATTTTATCTCGTGTCACACTTGAACCTATAATTAAGTTTCCATGGAAAAAATCATGTAATTTAAAGACGTATTTTTGTAAACATCCTGTAGCCATATTACTTGTCACTTAATCTAATTCTTTCTGTCGTTTTAATCATTTAAAAATGTTTTATTTAACAAAAATTTGATAGAAATAAATGTGATTGAAACTAATAAACAAAACTTATCTATACATTGTTGTAGTTAAATACTATTGAACGTGTTATTTTCCATTGAAAGTATGTTTAAAACCAGCGATGAATAAACAAATTTGATCAACCGATAAGAAGAACGAGATACAAAACCTGTTAACAAGATAATTACGATGAACAACGGATAAAATAGATATTATAATTGTGTTAGTTTTTAATTTTATTGGATTAAAATCGTTATAAAGAAAGAAAGAAACACCAAGATGAATTTTTGTTGTATTTGTTTGAAATTTTAAAGTATTAAATTAATTTTTCGTATGAAAAAGTTCTTTTTTGTGTACTTTCTGGAAAGAATAATGGTTCAGATTATCGGATTCAGGAATTGATCTGTAGTCCAAGGGTGATAAGTTAATGGTGTTTTCGTTTGTTAGATTAACCTGCGAAAAGTCATCGTGCACGAAAGGTCTGATTAACTAAATTGTATTGTTTTCTTCTATGATTCACAGTGGCATGCCGTCATTGGAATTGGTGGATGCACCTCTTCCCTTGCATTTTCTAAAAAATAAATACATATTAATTTTAATTACAGTAGACCCCCCCTATAACGCTTAGATACGTTCCACGCTAATCGAATTTTACGTTGTAGGAATGATTAAATACATGAGCCAATCGCAGCCCGATAGGTGTGAACTTTACGGACTAAGGCTGTTTGAAAGGTTTTCTTCTATCAAATTAACCGATTCTAGACTAATTCTACTCAACATTTCCAAAACACGTATAATTTTTTGGGAATAATCTGTATAAACTATGCTATAAACAAAAAATTATAGGATTACTTACCGAGTGTGCACCGTTCGACTACGCCGTTGCTTAAAGCTGGTTTTCGTTGCGGAACAGCACATGAAACGGCGGCCGCGATTTCTAATAACGAATTTTTCGCAGAAAAATAACTTGACCTTTGGAGACATCATTAATATAAATAATTTTTATGGCCGTTGAATAAGAAGTGTTTCTTTCACAAGAAATGTATAAAATTAGTGCTGTATTAGACTTACGGTACCTAATTTACATACTGTACAGACGATAATAAACTCAACTTACTAGCCTAAAATCTCCGTAGCGTGTTGCCAGGCGGCAGAAAGCATATATATAATTATAATAAAGTTACAATAAATTAAGTTAATATATAATTATATATACAGTACCTAATTTATATATAATTAATATATAATTATATGTACAGTACCTAATTTATATATAATTTATATATAATACTAAACAGACGATAGCAAACTCAATTTAGCCGCTCCGTAGCGTGGCGCAGGGTCGGAGGAAAGTAGTTCGGCTGCTCATCCACTATTGGTCCAGATTCTATCAATTTTGTCGCGAAACGACGTTATAGGAGGTACTTTATACGAATGTTGCTACAATTTTTTCGCTACGTTATAGGAATTGTCGTTATAGGAACGCACGTTATAGGGAGGTCGACTGTATATGAAAATAATCGCACAATATTTTACTATAACCGCATTATGTATCTTATTACAAATTTCTATACTACACGTGAAAAAAATAAGATTGCTATTGTATATTCGAATATTAGTGGCGGAGTGGAAGCGATGTATCGTCAGCATCCAAAAAAGCAGATTCGCGCACGTGCTTTACGGAGCACCAACCTCACCCAGTTTAGCCGGTGGAAGCCTAGGACCTCGGGTGGATGCTACACATATACCGCATCCGATTCTATCAGGGACCGGTTCTGGGCCGTTAGCCGCCCGCCCTCGCCCGATTACACCAATCGCGAGTAGATTTATAACTTAACCCAACCAATAAGAATTTACTGGTACGTTTTTACGATAGTTCTGTATAGTTGACGGGAGTTTTAAAAAATCCATTAAAATATTTGATATTCTTATTCCGCTCTCCGATTTTATATCACTCGCGGATTTCAATGTTAAACCGGTGAAATTACGATTTTTCGTATGTCCTATCTCTAAGGAGATGTAGAAGAAAACGTGTACAATTCTTGTATAATGTTAAGAAATTAACCGTTACTTCGACAGCATCATTTACAACTAAATTTAATGAATAAGAGAGATGCACCAGGTACAGAAAAAGCTCTAGAATTTATTTTCCTTAAATTTACGATTTATGTATCCGTTTCTAATAAGAATTTGTCTTTCCACTTTTTTCCGAGACTAAAAATATTCGAGTACAAAGTAATTTCTTCGTATTATTAATGTAATAAAGACAGAAGAAATTTTTCCAGTTCGACGAGAGTGACCGAAAAGTTGTATATTTTGGAAATTTCTGAGGAGACTTGGTCCTAACACGAATTAGTTAGAAAACAAATAACTATTAAGTTTAACATATTTAGATTTTTACAACTATGGTGAGAAACGTTTAAAATCTACAAAGCCCCAATCGCGTCGTTTGAGATATACTAGTGATGCGAGAAAAGAGGTATTTGACATTGACCGGTAGAGGCATCCTGGGGATTTGGCAGTCGGCATGTATGCACGCTTCGCAACCGTCTTCGATTCCATCCATTAGCCACTGGTAGGGAGCTATTTGACTAAGTGCATTGTTTTAACATTTAAAAGTTTTATTAAGTAAAAGTTCATATACACATTTAATTGTTCAATATAATTATAATTGTGGCTTAGACATATGCTAACTGCGATATTTCCCTTTTGTTTTTATTTTGGTGTCCAGTGTTGACACGCACGTTGCTGGCGAAAATCTATTATTTTCCGGTCAGAATTTCATCCTCAGTTGAGAGATTTGAAACGACCGAAGACGGTGCTAAGTTGTCACCGTCGACTCTAATTAACTGAAGTGGAAGAACACGTCCCTCGTAAGCGATGACGAAGGACACGTATCGTTCCAAGAACCGTCAGCAGGAAAGGGAAGAACCGCCATGAAAGGTCACATTCGATCAATGATATCGCGTCCGGTCATTAGGTCATAGCCAGGTAAAAGTTCATATCCGGGTAAAAAAAGAAAGTCACAATCGGGGGGGGGAGTCACATCCGGTGAGAAGACCTTGCTGATTTATTTCTTCCAGAAGAAGAAGATCTTCTTCCACCAAGGTTTCTTTTCCCTCTTTTTCAGAATCGATTTACACTTCTCTTCCAGTCCCTCCTCGCGTGCCTGTCTCTGCACCGACCATTCCGGAACTTCTGGATATCTCTGTTCCAGATAATCGATGACAGACGACGTGCTCTCATCGGGAATGATGACAATCACCCGTTTCTTGTCGGGTTCATCAGATTTCTGCTTCGCACCCTCCAGCACTTCTTTCGGACGCACGCGAATCACTCGAATTGAAGAGGAAGACGATGATGTCGAGGAGCTTTCCTCCGCACTCTCTCCTCCACAGTTGTTCCAATTCTTTAGCGCTTTAAAATTATCCATCCTGCAAACAATAAAAATCGAGTATTAAATATTGTAGAACGAACGTTAAATTAAGAGAATATTAAAAAATCATAATGTAAATACGACAGAAAATTATAGAAAATGATCGTTTTAAGTATAAGAAAAATTCTAATCCCCAAAATAAGTCAAAGACTCGATTCTTCTCTTCGACAACAATTGTTATCGAAATATTCGTTATAAGAAAATTATCGCTGCTAATCGTGATTTTCCGCTTAACAATGTTAAAAACACCTAAATCTAAAACGATCAGGGACTAAACTTACCCAAAATAATCGCTTCAACAACAGCAAAACGCAGAAAACACTCGAAACAATTCACTAAATCGCATTCCAACAAAGCAAAAGACAATTGTCGAAATTCTATTGTTGCGTCGCGACTCAGTTTAATGTTAAAAATTTCGATTTTTTGACAGAATTTCGTATGTCTTTCTATAGAGATACATCATTCTGCTTTTTGTCTGTAGTCTTTCACTCATCCCCACAGAAAGGAGGTGGAATCAATTATGTTAGAGTTAAAATGTTCGAAGACTCTCATAAACCAAGTAGATTTGAGTTCGATTCGAATTAAATGGAGCAATGGTAGAATATTCTGAAACTGTTGTTTCTATATTGTAGGTGGAAAAAATTTCAGATCTATAAATCCCACTGTCTGGCCTTTCTTAATCTCGAAAACGCAGTTAGGTAGATGAAAGTCGAGACCAGATGTGAAAAGATTAGGGGCGGAGGCCTCGATTAACTATAGTCTACATGAACTTCCGATAGAAGACGGAAGTTAGTTTATTTCAATTCAAAACTTTTCCTCTGAAAGAAGTTAAATAGATGAAAGGCATTGCTATTACTCTATTGCTAATGGAAAAGTGTGATGTACAGGGCGAGACACTACAGTAGTAATTTGAGGTGGACAGCATATATTTTAAATTAAATAAATTAAAAATATGATTAAAAATTGCCACCCAGCATTGTGACCATGTCACAATAAATAATTGCTCCTTAGTTTTTTAATTGCAACTTTAAGAATTTTGAAAATAAATGGCTTATAAATAAATAATGTCGTTTTTTTCGTTTCTGTGCGGGTGATTTAAATATTTCGTCCACAAGAACTTACGATATTTCACACGAACAAAACTTACAGGTTTTTGGTGTTTTTGCTTAACACGACAAACACACAAACTTTAATTAAAATCACGAAACACATCAGCATTAAAATCTAATAACTTTACTACGTTAAAATTACCGTGATTTAAGCACTTGCATTGCACGATTTCGTGCAATGCAAGTGTCAGTATCGTGCCTCTGTCGTGTCCGCTTCCGATAAAAACACAGTAGTACGCTTGAGACAAATTAATGATTCGATTATTTACACACGGATCACGGACAGCCATCGACAATTTGCAATGTATATGCTTTCCACACGACGAAACGAAATTCTTTTTCAACGACCACAACCTTCATTCTCTTGGCGACAGACTTGTGGCAACAGCTTCGCTTTTTAACGAGAAAGTGTAGACAAAGAAATTTCCATTATCGGCAACAACAGATGCGGCGATTATCTTTACGCTATAGTCGATAAGGCAATTTGCAATGCATTAAGGTGGTATGCAACAGGTGGGTCTGTGTGAGGTCCCATGATTTAATAGTTAGCACTCCGTACTCTGAATTCACTGATCCGAGTTCAAATCTCGGTGGGACCTTTTCTTCTTCGCCCCTGTCATCTTTTATGCAATTGAAGGCGACAGCGATTGTAGAATTCAGAAACTTCTTTTGCTTTGGATTTAGAACAGAAACTCTGCTTCACACACGTGCGGCGAAGCAGAGTTTTTGTTCGATGCTTTGCAATGTTTCCATATGTTTATTCTACTTTTGCGATGGCCTCAAAACGGAATTTAACATGTTGCAAAGTTCTGACCAATTAGCATTACAGTTTCGAATGAAAAGAGTTACAAAATGTCTTCCAGATGCTTAACTCACACTAAAATAGACATTTTCAATTAACCGCACGTAAGAAAATTTGGTGTCAGGAGTGGGATTCGAACCCATGCCCACTATCGTGGACCAGAATGCACACTCCCGCATTTACAGGAAGGTTCTACCTTGAGTCCGGCGCTTTAGACCGCTCGGCCATCCTGACGTTATTTTGCTATCACGATTGATGCCTAATCAATGGTGAATATTCATTTCTCGTTATGTTCAAGCAGTTTTATGACAGGCCGACGTTTAACTAACTAAACGATGATTCAATTGCAATTGTTTAGTTTACGGAATTTCGAAAGAAGTTATAACATGTTTTGTCTCTTACAAGAAATGAAATTTCCTTCGACTGAGTGATGACGTCCACGTTAAATTATTTTAACGTGTTTTTTCCATTTTGACACCAGAGTATTGGAATTAGGGGCGGGAGGTCCCGATTAACTATACATGAACGTCTAATGCAAGACAGAAGTCACTTTATTTCAATTCAAAACTCTTTTCTTAAAAGAAGTTAAATAGAGGACAGGCCCGAATCTATTGCTAACAGGAAAAGTGTGATGTACGGGGGCGAGGCAGTACATTACTAATTTGAGATTGAAAGCATATATTTTAAATTAAATTTAAGATATGGTCAAAAATTGCTTGGTGTATGTGTAAATTTACATCTTCATTTTCAGTTGTTAATACAGTAGAACCCCTCTAATCCGTCACCTTTGGGACTGGGGGTATGGTCGAAACGCAAAAAAGGTCGGATTATCAGAAAAAAGTAAAATAAACAATCTTCCCCTTTGTCTAGTTTTTGTAGCACTGCTAATTTTTCATTTAATGAAAGAGTAACGTGTTTACGTTTCACTCCTGACATGTTGAAAACACACACAAAACTGTACATGTGCACACAATTTAAAACATATACTGTAACTACAGTGGCTAGAAAATATAGTGTCGAAATCGAGCTTATTTTCTGTCCCTATATTGGAGGTTGCCGCAAGAGGCGCTGCTGTCAATCGTTGTGCTACACTGGCTGTATCATCCTATGTTTATATTGGTTTTAAGTGGGATTTTTAAGCATAGTAAATGTGCTGTAGCCAAGTAAAAGAATTTAGATCGATAATAAATCATATCACTAGCAATCAATTATTATATAGTATTACTTTATTAACATTTATGAAGGAATTCATTTTATTAAAGCTAATTAAGATTCTTATTAAATCAAATAGCCTACACTGTATTGTCTATTTTTACATTACAGCTGTTGAGTGCTGTACAAACAAGTATTATTTAGAGTACAAGAGTAATCTACTCTTGTTATTACCTTATTAACAACAAGGTTTATTCATATTTACTAAAAAAATACAGAATTTATCATATTTTTAATAATAAAATGTAAGTTTTATATGGCTTTGTGAACCTCTTCCACTGTGAGGGCCTAAAATAGAATTTATTAAGCAAATGCCATCAGTTACATAATACTGTATACTGTTCACAGTATTATGTGACATAGTATAAAGCAATATTAAAATTACAATTAAATTCTACACAGTATATAAAATATAAAGGCAGAATGTTACTTTATTGTCCCAATATAAAATTACAAAATTAAGTATGTACAAATAAACGATTATTAGTCTACTGCCAAGTACCCATGCATATACACTTTATATTTGAAAAATCTCTCTTAAAAAATTACAGATTAATATGCATGTAGATTTCTCACCCTTTTCGACAAAAATAAAAGAATTAAAAATTACAGTAGAGTAATATCTATAAATTAGAAATACACAAGTCAGTAAAGTTTCTGTTCAGCCATTTCCTAAGGATTTATTCACTTTACAAGCACAAATTTAATCGCTTTCGATGTTCTTGTAAGAAAGGATATCACGTAGCCAAAGCGAAAGTAGCACTACGATTGACATCAGCGCCACCTTGTCTGTGACGTCACTAACCTCGATGTATGGACCGAACGGTTATAATGGAGGAATATAAGCGCTTTCGACACTATATTTTCTAGCCACTGTAACTGTAACGAACACAGAAAAACGCCATGGACGGTGAGACACCGACGAGTCAGGACAAGTTTTTCGACTCCGACCACGGTCGGATTAACCGGAGTGACGGACTAGCCAAGGGCGGACTACAGGGGTTCTACTGTAAATATTATAAAGATTTGAGAACTTGGGAACAATTCTGAAAAGTTGTTAAAAAATTAAATTGTGTTTTTTTTTTTTATAAAATAAATAATATTTGCGTATGGAACTAAAGAGCCGCAGCTTCGCATCCAAAGAGCCGCAGGTTGCCGACCCCTGCACTAGGGTTATAAATTCTCTATGATATAAACATAAACAGTAATGAATGTCCCACTTCACATATGCCGATATGCATTTTATCTGTAGATATTTCGATTTGATTTTAATCAAACAAAACGTCAAGAACAGTTTTAAAATAAGCTTCTAAATAAAGAATACAACATCACATTAGCAATGATGTGCTAAATTTAACAAGTATCGTAATTAAGATACAAATCTACGTTGCAAATCACCCTCGACACGAATAACAAATACACCAACCCCCTTATTTGCTGAGAAAAACGAATCTGTTAGGTAAAGATGTATTTACACAAATGTCTCCACATGATTAAAAACAGTTTAAAAATTTGACAAATTAGTTTAACACAAACAGCCAGAAAATCTATTTTATGACAGATTTTTGGCTTTAACAGAAGCTAGAAATCCCCCGTAAAATGGATATGTTACTGCATTTCCATGCATCGATGAATTATACGAATTAAGTTTAATTCCTTAATTATTTGCCTAATTGAAGTGTAAAAGTGGTTTAAAAGATAATATTTATATAATATAGCACACCATTAAATACATTTATTTTATATTTTAATTGAAGAAACAAAATTATTTTCAGACAAAACAATTTCATCCATTTGAGTAATTTCGTAGGACTTGGAAACGTTAAGAATCCTACTTATTCACAATAATTGCGAAATTAACAGCTAAAGAATTAAATACAATTAATATTTACAATACAATACAGGCTTAAATACAATTATTCTATCACTCGTCTCTTCTAAAATAATTCCAGGAGATGCAGTATAATCATTAATGATTCATTTGTAGGACGAAAATTCTTTTGCTTGCGAAAAATCTCTCAAAACCTCATAAATGAATGTATCGCAATCGTCAGGTAACCTTATATTCTTAATTTCCGCAAATGATTTTAATGACAAAATACTTTCATGAACGTCCCGTATATTGCGTGTTAATTCAATCTTCTGTTGTTGTAACTGTGATATTTCACTTTTCACCTTTTCAGTTTCTTTTTCTAAATATTCTATTCTTTGGTGTATTTGTTCCCTGGAGGTTACGGCGTAACCGTGATTTTTTAAGGTCTTTCTTCGCTGCTTCATTAAAAGTATTTCTTCTTCATTGTACTCGTAAAGTTTAATGAGCCGATTTAAAAACGGTGTGGAGAATTTCATCAACTCTTCGTCCGAAAGAAGCCGCTCTCTGTTGTTTTCCTGTGAAAAAACAGAATGAATTTAGGAAAATACAAAATGATACTGAAAACGTCTCGATTTCTTCCTTTTCCGACAACTGGAACTAATAATCTTCCTTAGCAGAGACCACCTTTTATTGTAGGCTACGAGTCTGCTACAATATGCAAAACAGTTAAAAACGTTTCTGTTTCTTCTCTATTTTACATATATCTTGTAAATATATCTTCTGCTATTTTTTTAATTACATTATTAATTAATAAATAAGAATAATAATAATAATTATTAATTTGTTTATTTTTATCTACACACGTAAACATTCATTGGTGAGATACTGGTACGTCTGAAATACGTTAATCCGCAGTTGACATTATTCTTTTCAATATTATATTGATGTTTCAATGTTATTAAACACGAATTTAATTATATTTTCAAATTAACTAAAGCAATAGCAGTCAATAAAATTAATATAAATCTATAATTTAAGATGTGATCTCTTATATCACAGTCTAACTTATAACATTATTTAATTGTCTCGACAGCCATAATACAAACACAAAATGAAACACTTACCATTGAGGATGGAACAATACTTTCGGTAAAATTGCTTAGATGACGGTCCGAACTGACGCTTTCTAGATACTGAGCGAATCTAAAATCCGAGCTTTTATAGCAAAATATAGACGTTTGCCAAGTGTTTACGTGTGACTTCAAAATAATAAGAAAACAATGTGAAGACAGAAAAAGTAAATCCTTAAGGCTATCTACCGGGAAATCATTATCCTTAATGGTGTTGTTTGTTGATAATTCGTAAGCATTATTAATGCATCATTTAATGTTTGTAAAAATTCATATATTTTAAACAATATACAATCGATAGTTGCAGAATTTATGCAAAAATTAAAATATTTTTTATAAAGTAGTCATAGCACTTTCATGTAAGAATAAAATTACCATTGAGCTTTTTAATTATGGCGAGTGAATATTAAATTTGATTAAAGTCTATTAAAATACCAAATATATTTTATTTTATTTTATTGGTGAGTGTGAAATTAATATGTGAATTATAATTACGAACAAATTTGCATAAAAGCATCTTTAAAAATACAGTAGAGCGTCGTTTATCCGAAAGTCGGTTATCCGAAAGAATTCCGTTAGCCTAAAGTATAATTTTTATTTGTTTTTATATATTTCAATGTATTTATTTCGTTTCTAAAACATAAAGAAACCATTTTTAATGATACAATAGCCACGATTATTATTTTAAAAAGTTTACGTTAGGCTTAACATCGACGAAAATTCAACGCGAAGCGACACGCAACGGAGAAAAATTTCAACACGGGATAGGTTAATATATTTTTTCCCTACATAATCGGTTATCCGAAAAAATCAGTTATCCGAACAACCCCAGTCACCAATTGATTCGGATAAACGACTCTCTACTGTATTATAATACCGATGTTCTCGAAATTTTATATCGAAGTTATCATATACATATAATAAAACAGTTATCAACGTGTTATATGTCGAATATTGATAACCGAAACTCCGGTATTATCGAATTTCATAAGAACTTCTAATTCGAAGTACACAAATACTTTAATTACGTAGATTTGATTTTAATTTGTTTCGAAAATGTTTGAGAAAAAAAATACTATACAAACTAGTATAATTTTTACTTGTCATAATTAAAAACAGTAGTAATGTTATAAGTTTAAGTGTATACTTAATAAATGTGTATACTTCTATAGGTTACATACACATTTGTCCAATTCCAGCTTCTCCCCACGCTTTCCTCTTTCAAGTTTTATATTTTATTTTAGTTATATTGATTAAATAAGAGGTTTAAAATATTATTATAAAACAAATTAATACAAAATAACTCAAGTTAATGTAATGCCAACCTTTTTATAGTTATAAACTTCTTTAAAAGATCAAATAGCTCTTGAATTAATCGACTGAAGACATTTCGTGGAATTTTATAAGGTTTCGTGTCAGGAACGATAATATATTCCTAAAAAACAATGTTGAGAGTATTATTACAAAATTGATAGTAGTAAAATTAGATCCTTTGGCAAAAAAAACCCTTCATTTTTCTTATTTAAAGCTCTTAAAATAAGTTAATCTGAAGGAGAAAAGAAATTATTTTATTATACTTTTGATCTAAAGATGTACATTTTGAGTTTTTCAAATCTCCTTTAATTGAAGTTTTACAATTTTAAAAGGTATATTCTTCTATTAGAATGTATGGTTTTCCTTTTTCTTGCCTTATTAGAATATTGACTGAGGATGAAAGTTTGTTTGCTAATAACTCATCAGCATTATTAGTGCATCGTGTAGTGTTTGTAAATATATATATATTTTAAACATTATACAATTAATAGTTCTTGAATTTATACGGAATATATTATGTTTTCTAATTTATCATTATTATTTTAATATTAATCTATTAAAATAATATCTTTAAGCATCTTAGTATTGAATGAAGGTGAAATTAGACTTATGTTCCGATACTTTCGTTATAAATTTAATCTGTCACTGCGAAATTAATCTGTAAATTATAATTCTCGACAAATTTTATACTTAAATACTATTTAAAAAAAGCAAATATCAACTGTGTTTTTCTAGTTTGAATCGAATAATTTATTATTTTTGTCTCACGCACATGTTTATAACACTTAAATTACAGTTTGTTGAAGACATTTAAATTTATAATCATAAGAATGTGTACTTAATCTTTTAATTGGATTTAAGTTTCAGCGATATTTAAACAAATTTACATAAAAATAACATTTCTACACAATACGGTAGACCCCCCTATAACACTGTACAACATGGAATTCATATAAAACGAAATAATCATTTCGTTTTATATGAATTCCATGTTGTACGAGTCACTTAGATTTTACAAATACGTGAGCCGTTCACAGCCTGGCACACGTATTTGTAAAATCTAAGTGACTGATACAACATGGAATTCATATAAAACGGAATAATCAACAGTGTTATAGGGGGGTCGACTATAGAAGTAATTACGATTATATAAAAAAATTAATAATGAAATTTGATTGCTTTCGTAATGAGAAATAATATTTATGAGAATAAATTGTTTTTATTTATGNGGTTTACCAAATCAAACAAAACAACAGTTCTTGGAGTGTTCAAATTTATTCATATTTGGCTAAAAATTCCAAAATAGATATTTTAAACTCTTTTTTTATAATTGTGCTTACTTATATCTGCTTCTAGATATTATTAGGGAATATATATTATTTATTTATTTACTGAAAAAAGAAGAAAAACAATAGATATTTTTCCCCCCTTTTCTTCAGGAAATCCACTGCAATGGAAGTGCTACCATCGAATTTAATTGTACTTTTTAGTTGTCTTATTTCTAGATTACCAGAAGTATACGAAATGTACGAATTGTTTATTGTATCAAATTTGCATTATATACAAATTTTTATTTACTCAGCGAATACAATATAAATGTTTTAACGCAAATAATTCTTAAATGCTAACAGAATACTGCGGTTTTCCATTGGAGCCATCGAGACTCAAAGAAGAATTGAATGAATTTACAAGTTCCTCATTCTCTTTTTCTAATTCTGTAACGTCTTCGTAATGAAAAATTCGATCTGGTTTGTATATAAATTCGCTTATCTTTAACTCAAAATCTCTAATTGAAATACCTTCCGGAGAACTCGGAATTTTCTTCGTGTAAATTAAGCCATTAATTTCTATTTCTAATATATCAGGAGATTCTATTTGCAATTCGTCGTTAATTATAAAATCATATGGATCTGTCCATTCAGAAGTAATTATTTCTTCTCGGCAATTATCTTCTTCTGTTCTTTTCATATCCTGATTGGATTTGTCAGAAATTATATCGATCTGTTAACAAGAATAGAAATTTATATTAGTAATTACTTATTCTAAGTGTAAACGACTTGTTAAAAAAGAAAATTACTGTGTAATATATTTTCAATATTTTTATTATTATTTTTAGATGTTAAAGCAAAATCTGACACCAGTCAAATGCTTTATTTCGTACTAATCGAAACGTATTAAATTAAACAAATACCACGCTTTCTTCACGCAAATACCACGGTTTTCTTCCATAAAATTAATCAAATCTAGACTAATTTGACTCGAACATTACCAAAACACGTATAATTTGTTAGAAATGATCGATATAAAATATGCTATAAACAAACATAGGAACAACACTAATAAAAGCAAATAACGCTGATTATTTAATTTACGAATATTCAACGAGTATTTAGCTATAAAACGAATTATTATATATATATCGATTACTATTCTACACTGTTTACATGCGTAATATATAAAATATATTTATGAAAAGGATTAACCTTTAACCTTATCCTCAGAAGTACTTAAAATTACAACAACAACTACAAGTACAGAGAGAATTATCTGTCTCATCTCTTGTCGATCTCATTTATGGTATTAAAAGCTTTTAAAAGTTATTACAATGAAAATAATCGGTTCGGTTCGGAAGAATTTAACTGTTTATAGCATCATTTATTTATTATAATTTATAATAAATTACAGCGTATTTTCATTGCAAAATTATCAAAAAAGTCAATTGTACATTGAAGTGAATATTCAACATTCAATATGTGATACCAAAATGCCGCCCTTTTGAAACTGGACCCTGAGGCGACGTCACACGCCTCACCCCATACGATGGCCCTGTGTATAAAAACATAAATTTTTGTAATTATTACTTTATAATATTTGATGTCATTAATATGACTTTCTTTTCTGACTTGAAATGATTAATTTTTAATGAACGTATGCTATTTATTTTAAACAGTATTGCACCTTACATCTATATCGATTTCATGAAAATCCCTAAATTTTCTCTGGACCAGGGATAAAATACTATCTGACTTATTAGGCACAATGAAAAAAATGTATAAAGAAAAACGTATATAAAAGTAATTCATTGTAAATGGAGAAACAATACATACATAAACAGTGTACAGATGATACGGATGTTAATCATCCTGAAATCCTTTCAACTTGTGTTTTTATCTAATCTCTATTAATTGATACATTATAAAATACTTATTTAGATTTGATTCAGAATTAATCCTTAAAATATTCACCATAAAATATGCCATAGAGAATTTTATTTTTCAAAGTAAATTATGTGTTAAATAGTTATTACTCATTCGGAGCGATGTTCATATTGTTTGTATTTTTTCGCTTTCTTTCAACGTTTATAAAAGAAGAAATACAGAAAATTTTAATTTTAAATTTTATACAACATTATTTGATGCATACAAAACAATTCGTTTTACACATGAATAAATTCGTTGAATACAGTCGACCCCCCTATAACACCGTTAATTTTTCCGTTTTATATGAATTCCATGTTGTACGAGTCACTTAGATTTTACAAATACGTGCGCCGGGCTGTGAATGGCTCACGTATTTGTAAAATCTAAGTGACTCGTACAACATGGAATTCATATAAAACGGAAAAATCAACAGTGTTATAGGGGGAGGGTCGACTGTATTCCTATTAAATTTGAAATCGGAAGAAAATAAATAATTTATGCTCATGAACCTTCGGCCCTAAAGGCCTTATAAAATGCCACGAAATGTTTAAGTTGGATTCATTTTAGTGCGATCTCCGCATTTGCAGAAAAGTTTATAACTGTAAATTGCTTGGTATTACTTTAAAATGATGTTTTATTTTGCCTTAATATCGATAATTGTTTATTATAATTTTAATTAATTAAGTAAACATGATTATACGAAAATAATTGTGCTTACTTATATCTGCTTCTAGATATTATTAGGGAATATATATTATTTATTTATTTACTGAAAAAAGAAGAAAAACAATAGATATTTTTCCCCCCTTTTCTTCAGGAAATCCACTGCAATGGAAGTGCTACCATCGAATTTAATTGTACTTTTTAGTTGTCTTATTTCTAGATTACCAGAAGTATACGAAATGTACGAATTGTTTATTGTATCAAATTTGCATTATATACAAATTTTTATTTACTCAGCGAATACAATATAAATGTTTTAACGCAAATAATTCTTAAATGCTAACAGAATACTGCGGTTTTCCATTGGAGCCATCGAGACTCAAAGAAGAATTGAATGAATTTACAAGTTCCTCATTCTCTTTTTCTAATTCTGTAACGTCTTCGTAATGAAAAATTCGATCTGGTTTGTATATAAATTCGCTTATCTTTAACTCAAAATCTCTAATTGAAATACCTTCCGGAGAACTCGGAATTTTCTTCGTGTAAATTAAGCCATTAATTTCTATTTCTAATATATCAGGAGATTCTATTTGCAATTCGTCGTTAATTATAAAATCATATGGATCTGTCCATTCAGAAGTAATTATTTCTTCTCGGCAATTATCTTCTTCTGTTCTTTTCATATCCTGATTGGATTTGTCAGAAATTATATCGATCTGTTAACAAGAATAGAAATTTATATTAGTAATTACTTATTCTAAGTGTAAACGACTTGTTAAAAAAGAAAATTACTGTGTAATATATTTTCAATATTTTTATTATTATTTTTAGATGTTAAAGCAAAATCTGACACCAGTCAAATGCTTTATTTCGTACTAATCGAAACGTATTAAATTAAACAAATACCACGCTTTCTTCACGCAAATACCACGGTTTTCTTCCATAAAATTAATCAAATCTAGACTAATTTGACTCGAACATTACCAAAACACGTATAATTTGTTAGAAATGATCGATATAAAATATGCTATAAACAAAAAATTGTTGGAATAATTACAGAGTGTACCCCGTTCGAAGATGCCATTGCTTAAGCTTGTTTTCGTCGCGGTACACTCTGTAATTATTCCAACAATTTTTTGTTTATAGCATATCTTATATTATTATCAAATTTCTCTAATTATATAAATATAAAATTGACTAATTTATGAAATTTAAATAAGAAGCTTAGTGTGTATGGTACATGTTCTTTTTCATTTCTACAATGTTTTGTGTATTTCCAGGTCTGTACAGTTTCCTCTCTGCCTAGGGGATATAGATTGAAAAGACATCAAGGCACCACCAATGTCCGGATCTTTAGCATCGTTCTGATGGCTGCATGCGATGCAGACTACAGATTTACATTTGTAGATACTGTATAGGAGCTTACGGGAGTGACTCTGATACAACTATCTTGTCATTGTCAGCCTTTGGAAGCAGTCTCCTGTCTAATAACATTGAAAAGTTAAAGTTGCCAAAAGAGGGAAAACTACCAGCTACAAACATAACCCTCTCATTTATATTTGTTGCAGATTCTACATTTCCGCTAAAACTCAAGCTTACGCACCCTTATCCTGGGATCAGCGGCGGCCTTATCCATTGCGAGGCCCTGGGCGGCAGATCTTTGCGAGGCCCTTGGCGGCAGAACTTTGCGAGGCCCTTGTCCTTTGTGCAAAGTATGTGAATTGAAATAGTAGGCACTTATTAATATTAATATATACTGTACTATATATTAAATTTATTTTATTGTTATAACTAATAGCCAAGGATAAAATAAAAAGTTTTAAATATCAACTTTTTTCTACTTGGTTGTTGCGCGAGGCCCCTCCAAGAGCGAGGCCCCGGGCGATTGCCCTGCTCGCCACCCCCTAAGGCCGCCACTGCCTGGGATGAATTTGCCAGAGGGTGAATCAATCTTCAATTACTGTCTCTCCCGGGCAAGTAGAGTTATAGAGAGAACATTTGGAATCTTGGCATCGCGATGGCGCATTTTCCATCAATCAATTAGAGCATCTCCTGATGATGAAACAAAAACAGTGTTATACACAGTTACCCTACATAACTTTATAATGAAAAATAATTCAGTGCCAAAATACTGCCCCCCCCCGAATTTTGTAACCAGGAAAATATCTCTGGCGATTTATTCCAGGTGAGTTCCGGGATGAGCCATCTCCCAATTGGGAGCCTCTCCAATGTGGATCGCGGAATTCGGAATACTCTAAAGGAGTTTTTTTCACGAATAAGGGACATGTACAGTACCTTTCAGTTAGGGATTGTTAATCGAGGAACCCTACCAAATTCATAAAGATAATAAAATTTTAGAATATTTAATCGTTATTATTGTAATATTTGATTATTTTGATTCAAATGTATATTTTTCATAATTGTACAGTTTTATATATTAAAGTTTTTTTAGAATAATCTAGTCTTCTTGTTATGTCTTAAAGAAATTTACTGTTTTGTTTCTTTTCCTGTATGTATAATAAAAATAGTTTTATTATACATAGAGGAATCTATAAAAATATATATATATATAGGTACTAATGATGTATATACTTATATTCTAATACTGTCTGTATATTCACGAATGTGGTTTACCAAATCAAACAAAACAACAGTTCTTGGAGTGTTCAAATTTATTCATATTTGGCTAAAAATTCCAAAATAGATATTTTAAACTCCTTTTTTTCTTTAGGATTCATTTTTCTCATTAATTCTGACATATTTGTAGA